GAGCAGCTCCTCCGAGACCTGTAAGCTGCCTCGGATGGCAGTGGGGATGGGGCCTAAAGCCTGTCCAGGAGACATCTGCTCATCCACCATCTGACTTCAGCGGGGTCGTTGGCTTTCCGTGCTGCAGCTGTATTGTCTGGTTGCATGGACGTGCACCTATAAGGGGCGGTTCGGACTCCCTCCATCCCTTGCCCCAGTTGCCCCGAAGTGGGATACGGGCTCGCTGCATACGCACTGTAAAGATTTGGGGTTACTCTTGTAGAGCAATCAAGGGGCTTGGCACAGAGCTGGCCTTAGCATTTGAAGGCAGCAGGTGAAACAGGCTTCCCCTCCTCCTCCCAAACATTCCTGCCCCCCAAGATCTGGCCTGAGCATTGTGGGACTGGCTAGCGGGAGGGTTCTTTCCAGGATCCCCCTCAGCCCTGGGCTTTGCTGGACAGGTGAGTCCCAGGCGACTCCTGCCCAGTCCCCAAAGCACTCACTCAGAGGGCAATTCTCTGCTGCGCAGCGGGAGGAGGTTGGAGCCAGAAGGGTGGAACCTGTCCCTGTTCCCATTTTACATGGTTTGGGGGAGGTTAGTGGGAGAGGTGAGTGCCCAAGTAAACAGGAATTAATGGGGGCTGGGGAAGGGGATTAAAATTTCTATTGTTCTAGTTCATCTATAAGAATTCCTCTCCCAGGGTAGCAAATGCGGCCCCCGGAGCCCCAACTCAACCCAGTGCCATGGGAGTCCGTGGGGGGAGATTGGGGCCTCCTTGTACATCAAGGAGCTAGAGCAGGGTCTGCATGCCCTCTCCGGGTATCCGCGTGGACCGTGCAGATGTGTAGTCCCCGCGGTGGGAGGGCCCAGTTCAGTGGGCTGATTGGATTTGTCCATTGAAGCGTTTGATGTTACATGAAGGCAGCTCATTCCAGAGGATGTTAATTGCCCATTGCAGTGATCAGGTCTGTAGCACCATCGATCTCACCAGGATCAATGGGCTGATTTAGTGTCTTACTAACTCTTTAGCTGGACACCTCATCAATAGCCAGCCACTTACCGACCATCAGCACATTAACACAGGTCGTGCTGCCAAGAACCCACTCTGCCCCGGTCCCCAGCTGTCACTCATGGCTGAGTTTTCTTGCAGGTGAAGGCTTCAGGAGGCCATGTGCTCAGTGACCGAAGCTATGGAGCCAGGCCAGCAGCCATCCCACAAATGGAGATGACACCCAGCTGAGACCAGCTCCGTGCAGCGTCTCATGGCTCCCCTGGAACAGCTGCTGCCTACGGACCACGATGCTTGAGAGTGAGCTACATGAGCATGTGGGGGAGACCCATGGGGACCTGGAGACTGGATCGGGGATAAGGTGGCAGGCTGTGGTGAGGAAGAAAGGGAACAGATTGGGAGCGGGAGGAGCTTGCACATGGCCTTGTCTTAGTTAGACAAGGGGTCCCCCTGGGGTGGTGGAGAATGGCTCAGAGTTGTGCTCTGTGGGTCTTCAGGAGCACTGCGCTTTCTCCACAAGCAGTGTTCGGTGGCTATGACCCTGAAGCACTGACAGCATCAGGCCCCTGGTGGGCAGCCCTGGGAGCTCAATTGCTTGAGGACTCTTTTTGCCTTTCTGATTTCTGCTTTGCGCCCAAGGTGAGGAATGTCGGAGGCATATGGGGCTACTCGTGTACCAGGTGATCAGCAGACAATGGCCCACTCCTCAAGGCGTAGCTTCGAAAGGCTGGGGTTTTGGCATAACCCGAGGTGGGGAATTTGCATTCACCTCCCCCTAGAGATGCCCCAGGAAAACTGCTTCACACTGTTCTGTTCTTGTCTGGACCATTGTTCAGTATAGTCCTTTTGAGCTGCCAGGTCTTGCATCTATCACATCTGCCCCCTTAAGAGGTTACATAGGATCCCGGCCCACATGAATATGTAAACCATCCATCTAATACAATGGACCCCAAAGATACTTACATGGATTTCAATAAGGTCTCCCAAGGATATTGCAGGAAATTGCCATGCTTGTCACATTCTCCTCAGCCTAGAACACTAGGACAAACTAGAGTGTGCTTCTGGAAACAAGAGGAGGCATTTCCTTTCATCTCCAGCCTTTTTGGGGATAGCCATGGTTCTGGGGGCCCAGGTATGTGACCAGCAGAGTGAGCCATGTATGAGGTTTCACAGGGTCTAGCTGATACATCCCTGTGTCAAGGGCAGATGGCAATAATCTTACTGGAACTCTGGGAAGTTTGACAGACCCTGAAAGGCCCCGATCTCATTCATTCTTGTTCCTTCTACCGCCCAGAAGTGTGTGCATGGATCTGAGTGGACCCTAGTGACTCATGTCCTTTGGAGTCTTGGCACAGCTCCCTCCCTTGGTGATTTTTACCTCCTCAACCCAGGGCAGCATCGCACCTTGGCCCTGGAGGAGATGGAGAGTGACCCTGTCAGCCCACCGATTTGTTAAGCTGAGCCTGTCATCCCTCTATTAGTGCTTTCCAGCTACCGTACAGCAGAGTGGGAATCTGAAGGGGGTTTTTTCAGCCAAGCATGAATACAGGCAGGCGGGGGAAAAAAACATGCAAAGCCTGGTGAGCAGCTGGTTCTGATGAAATGGCAAGCAAGAGAGGGTCAGAAACAGGCCGGGTGCTTTATTCTGTGCTGATGGAGTTAGTGAGAGCAACCACTGCGTGCGATGGAGACCGTATCAGGGCTGCAGCGGAAGCGAGTGGAGTGAGGGGAAGGAACTGGGCTAGCTGTGCAGGCAATAACAGATGCTAGGTGGAGTCAGTGAACAATGAAGAGCACTAGGATGTGACAATGGGAGGCAGGTCCTATGCTCCCCGTTCCCACCTTGCTCCGTTTCTTCCTGCATTGGCCCCAGCTTGGCCTCCATTTGGTCACCTCTGGAATTTCTAGTCCCCTCCACCTCACTCCCCATCCCACCACACAGCCTCACCCCTTACGGCGGCAAAAGGCAGCTCTCTCTGAACCAGCCTTGTGAGACGACACATAGATAGAGAGCCCTGCCTCCAGGGACTACGGAAGTGACCTGTGGCTGCAGGAGGCTCGGTGTTTCTGGATCCGTGAGAATTAAGTATTGTGTCCTCCAGCTTGGTCCTGATCTCACCCAACCTCCGCTCTTCTCTCCTGGATGGCCAAAGCAGGTCATTTCACTGTCTGTGCTTGTGGGGTAGGAGCGCCAGGGCCATGTGGCATGCAGGCTTTAGTATAAAGCCCAAGGATCCTCCCAGTCAGGGTGGGAGAGGGGGAGACACTGTGGTGGCATGGGTTACGTGTGTGAAGTGTGCACTTGGGGCTCTGCTGTGCCAATGCTATTAGGCAGCACTGGGGCAACGTGCCAGGTGGCAGAGGGGCAGGAATGGTGGAAGTGACACCACAGTATTGACCCCAGTCCATGTGGCTTTGAGCTCCTGGCCTTCAGTGTCCACATGTGAACATGGCTATGCGGATTTCATGCCCTACAACAGAATCCATGGGCAAAGAGAGTTGATGGGATAAGCTGACCAAGGACCAAGAGCAGATGGAAGTAGTGACGTTAAAATGGTCTCCCCATGGCCAGCACCTCCACAGCCACCCCAAGGGCTTATTCAGATTGTGGTCACACTGAGGCACCCCAGTCCTGGACCAGGAGGCCACTGTGCTAGATGCATGAAAAATTGGTCCCTGCTCTTCGCCCCTGTGCCCAGTAGTGTGTGAGCCTGACACAGTAAGCACCACGGGAATGGGCCTCTGCCTTAATTTGGCTTAAAGGGAAGGAGCAAGAGAGTCCTCAGCAAAGTTGAGAAGCATTTAAACAGCCCTTCCTTCCTCCCCGCCACACATAGCCTTCAATCCATGCTCTTCTCCTGTAGGCTGTGTCCCTGGCGCAATCTTTACTCCAGTGCCAGTCACGTAGGGCGGGATGTGCGAACGTGTTCAGAGTTGGACTTTCTCTGCTCCCATGGGAGCAGGGTTAGGCCAGTACTGAGTGCCCTTGCCGGAGACATTTTTCCAAATATCCTACCATGCTTTCCTGGGGTCGCCTTGCCGAGTGGATTTATCCAACGCCCACGTGCCAGTACATGAAGTCACACGCTGTCCTCTTCAGTTTAGTGAATGAAACATCCAGTTTATTATTTAGTTTTCCAAGATCTCTTGGGTAAGACCATCGAAACTGGTAACAACACACCATACACAGCACGTAGACTACGTGGGATGCTATTTACAGAAGAGCCATGCCATCAAATTACCAGCTGTTCCTGGCAGCATGCGGCTATCGAACCTTCACAGAGACTTACTTGCTGCACAGTAACCTGAAAGAAATACTCGAACAAGAAAATCCTGCTTGGTAAAGTGTATGGTAAGAGCTAGGATAAGAGATGTAAGGGGCTGAAAAAGCACGTGGATTGCCATAGATGTCAGGAAATCACCTCTCAGAGCCAGCAAGGCACTGAAGTGGCATGGAGAAGCCGGGGTTAGGTGGCTGAGAGCTTCCCCCCATAAACAAATGGATGGGTGTGAACCTTTCCCCTCACCCCTGTTTGGGTCTGGACTGGGATTGAGACACCCTCCAAGGGCTCTGTTCAGCTCGGCGGTGTGTGAGCCTGGGAACTGTGCACATTCAGGCTCCCTTGATATTTTCCCACCATCTCCTGCTTCTGCTGTGGCGGGATGCACAGGGAGGCCAGCCTGTGTGGTGGGACGTTGCTCTCTGCGTCCTGATGGAAATGAGAGAAGAGCTGGAACGGGACTGGGGGAGCAGGTGTGCAGCGTGCGAGTGGGAAGGGAGTTAACTGGAGGCCAGAAAGGGGGTTAGGCTAAGCTTAGTGTTGACTCAGATTTAATTAAAGCTTGTTCATCGCTCTCTAACCATCTCCCGGCCATGGTACACCAGTGCCGCTGAAGAACTGTTAGGCCCTGGATCTCTGTGGTTAGAATATACAGGGGAGTCCGTGGACCTGGGAATGACCCCTTTAAAGCATGGCAGTGGAGCACCCTGCCTGCGCAGGCCGGCACGGCTCATGCGTACTGCCAGACGGACCAGAGGGTGCCCAGCGTGATGCTATAGGCCAACACAGCCACCAGGTACACCCGGAAAAGCAGCACGTCCAGCACGTAGCCCACCTGGAGCCACTCGCGGGCGATGTCGCGGAACTCGTCGCGCTTCTCCAGGAACTGGCGGATGGCAGAGATCTCCTGCAGGATGCTGGCCACCACCGGGGAGCTGTCTCCTTGTGCCGGGGGTGCCGGCAATGGCCTTGCGCCCGCCACCCTGAGGTTCTCGCAGCCGTAGTGGTTCAGCTTGGCTGCAGGAACAAGACAGATAGGGGCAACCTCTCAGAGGTCCCGGCCCTGCACTGCTGAGCTGTGCTGTGCTGGGCATTATACCACCCCAGAGGTGGGGTTCTGAGCCCCCATCCCCAGTGTCTGGCCCAGAGCAAATAGCCTCTGGGGACGGGCAGGGGGGTTAAATCCTTTTCTCTAAGTGCTAGGCCAAGGGACTTGAGCTCCAAAGAGGGGTCGTGCTCTGGCAACCTTGCCCCGGGGCCAGCAGGGAGTGAAGATGCCAAGGGTGCCTTTCTAAGCCTGTGCAATAGGGCTGTGTGGCCCAAAGGAGATCCTGCTCCATTGCTCCTTCATGTGCCACATGGACTTCCTGGGCAGAGCTGTTCCCTGGGGTCCCGCTGAGAGCAGTGGGGTGCCCCTCTCATGTTTTGGGGCTAAAGCCCCGAGAGGATTTGGGCTCAACACTGACCCCATCATGCAGGCTCCGATGTTTTGCTGCGCTGCACCATGGTCTAGCTCCACCAGGTGAGCCCTGAGTTCTTTCTAATCCTGTGCAGCTTGTTCCCGCCCCCCCTTGGTGGTGATGGTAACGTGCAGCCAGGGTGCCAGCTACACTTACCCCCTTTCCCAGTGCCACAGCTCGTACCTGTGCTGTCATTGTTCTCCGGGTGCCGGCTGATGTCTGAACTCTGTGTCCTGCTGGGGTAGAATTTCTTCCTGTCGCGGATGCAGAGAAGGATGGTGGCTCGTTCCAGCACCAGGTGCTTCACCCAGTCGGGGACGTGAGGCTGCAGGTCCTGCTTGTGGACCAGGCGCACGATGAGGATGGTCTCGGTCAGGCTGATGACCAGCAAGGCCATGCACACGACAAAATAGACGCCTGCCAGGGGAAGGCAGCAATGGTCCGTGGTCAGCAGGGTCAGTCTCTCGGCAAGAGCCAGGCCACAGCCCAGGCCGGGCCTGGGTGAGCTCTCTGTACCCACCTCTTTCAATGACGTTAGGTCTTCCTCACATGTAGTACCCACTCCTGCTCCAGCCCTACCAGGACCCCTGGCAGCTCAGCGTATCACTTCCACCCTGGCCCAACCAGCATCCTGGCTATTCCTCTCCTAGTCGCCCCACACCCGGCTCTGACAATGCCCCTCGGTCCTGATACACCACTCTTGTTGTTCCAGTCCTCGAGTGCATCTGGAGCTGTGCAGATGCCCTCTAAGTCTGACCCTCAGCAGACCCTGCTACTTCAGCCATGGCCTCCTCAGCCCCACACAGCTCTGCCAGTACCCCTCAACCCTGACCCACAGCCCCCGTCTCTTGCTATCCTAGTTCTGGTCTTCTCCCTCCCACAGCTGTGCTAATGGTCCTCATGCCCAAACCACAGCATCCACCCCCCACGCTGTCCAGTGCACTGTCCTACCAGCTCCTCCGGCCATACAGTTCATCTGCCCCACACTATTACCACCCATCCCCTCCTTGGCTCTGGACTCCGCGAGGGAGACCGATGCTAGATTTCAACCGGGGATGTGTGCGCACCTAGGTAACCACGGTGACGGGCACCATCGTACCTATCAGTGGGGTCCCAATGGCAGTGGCCGGCAGCGTGTCCGACACGATGATCAGGAAGACGGAGTAGCCCAGCAGGAGGGTGATCTTGAAGGAGACCCTCTCCCCGCTGTCGGGAGGCAGGTAGAACCCCACGATGTCCATGACCATCAGGAAGATGCTGGGGAGCAGCAAGCTGACGGCGTAGAAGAGGGGGCGTCTCCGGATGACCACCTGCCAGCACAAGAGGGGATGGGGGAGTGTGGAGAGATCTCTGTCAGGAGGAGCCCACTTGGGAATAAAGGCCCATTGCTGCCTGGCTCCCCTTCACCGCCACTGGGGCCTGTTATTGCCAGGCAACCCTGTCAGACGTGAAAGGCCAAGAGCTTTGCTGGCACCAGGGGCCTGGCTGAGTGGCTGCTGTGCTCCTCAGGCTCCCCGTTTGCTGTGGGGAGCATTGCCCGCTTCTCACCCCGAACGCGGGACCCTTGGTCTGGCTTCGAACTGGCGGCAGCAGCTTGGCAGGGCAGCTGCGCAGCTGAGACCTGCTATGGCCTGGCTGCCCCCATTCTAAACGAAGGGCCCAGGCCCCTGAGCAGAGCACAGGCTGAGAGCAAGGACGTCCAGCTCAGCTGCGTAGCTCCTCCATGCACACACCCCGCCCCAGCACACCCTCTGGGCTCCAGCTGCCCAGTAAACAGCCCATTAAGCCACACACCTGCAGTGGCTTGGATCCTCGGACCATCAGCGCTGGAGAGTTTTAATGCTCTGCGGCTGCATTATGGCCTGGAAGCAGAAGGAACCGCCCTGCCCTGGAAGGGGGGCCCCAGCTATGGAACCTAGTCATGCTAAGGGGAAACGGCTGCTCATATGGGCGAAACAAACGGCATCTGGGCTTACTCTGTGCGTGTTTCTTGGATGTTAGTCTAACTCTGGCTCAAACCAGGGTTCTGGGGGGAGCTCTGCAGTCTGTAGGCAGCAGCTGGACCCAAAGGAGGAGCTGGCTGTCAGGTAGGAGCCATGCTGAGAGACTTCGTTTGCCTCCCATTGGCAAGCTGCACTGGAGTGGACCTAGGCTGGGAGCCCTGTCCCCTTACATGAGTGATGTGCTGCAGCTTGTGTTGCAACAGTCCTTGCTATCCCCACCATGGTATGCAGCTCGGCACATCCTGTGGGGTTCGCTTAGCAACCCCTCTGCACACTTTAGAGCCAGGAGATCAATTGCACAAGTAGAGAAAATGGCAGCATTTGCCTTCTGCATCTTGGTGCGTCTCCCCTCTGTTCTCCCCTCCCCGCATGCCTGACCAGGGGAGGGGCCTTACATAGAACTTCATCTCGGCGTAGCTGTCGCTGCCCTCCACGCTGAACTCCCGGAACTGGCTGAGGACGTAGAGGAGCTCCCACTCCCCCTGGTTCATGAAGACGCTCTTGTCAAACTTCACCAGCTCCGGCTGCCGCCACAGCGAGAGGTTGATGTCGCGGACTGTGGGGCGGAAGAAAGGTGGGCATCAGGGCTGGGGGCCTGAGGGGAAGGGGCATCGTCCCCCAAAACTGCTGATGCGCTCCATGCCCACAGCCACCCTATGAGGTCTGGTAGCTTCACACTCCTCCTTTCCAGGCCACATTCCTCCTCCCTCCTTGTTCTCAAGGACGGATTGGCCTGCATGCGTTCCCTCTTTACTAGGGCCGTCTAGGGGGGTGAGGCATAGCCTGCATTGAGCCAGCGTGCTCCCAGAGACTGATCGCTCCATGCCACCCTCCGCCCCGCTAGCTCTTACCCCGCTCTGTCCCTCCTTGGGTGCAACAGCAATACAAACTAACCCCAGGCTGCCTGTGCCAATGAGCCCCAGCACTGACCCAGGGAGCCCCGCCAGCTCACTCCTTGCTCTCCCTGCTGGTAAGAGGGCCATTTTGTGCCTTTTGCAATGTCCACTGGGAACGAAACTGAGACCCGCCAAGTGGCTGCAAGCTATGGAGTCCCAGACCAGGTTATATTGACTCCCCACACAGCTGGAGGCTTTCTTAGTGGCCTGATCCCTCCCTCCCTTCCCAGGCTGCTGGAGGGCAGGGTGCAGCGGGGGAAGGCAGTGCTCTCTGTCACGTACTGTTGTGCAGCCAGCTGGTGAAGGTGAGCGAGCAGTTTTGCACGTCGAAGGGGAAGTTGTAGATGTCCAGGCTGCAGGCAGTCACCACCTGGATCGGCTTGAGGTTCTGGACCTCCCCGTGGTAACGGACGTAGACATACGGGATGTCCGGGGACTTGCCCACGTCCACGCTGAAGGGCACAAAGAATGGGAATGTCCCCGTCCAAAAAAAAGGCGGACCCCTCTGGCTCGTTTCTACCGTGGTGAAATGCCAGCGAGCTGCGGTGGCTGGGAGCGCCCTGAGCCCGGCTAGCCGGGACAGCTGGGAGTGTCTCTGTTAGGAATGGTAGCAGCTGTGACACCTGCTAGATGGGACCCTCGGGTTCCTGGCAGGGTATTGGGCAGCCTGAAGCCAGCAAACCTTGGGCTGTACAGCAGCCTGAGACCATGCAGAGGTTTCTGTTTAGAGCCTGTTGCTGCCAGCTGAGTCCTGCCCAGGAATCTATCCAAGGAGCCAAGCAGCCCATCCTATCCTTTCCCCAAAGAAACCTACAGGTTTATTGCCTCTCCAGCTCTGTGGACCCATCTCTTCTTTCCCACCTTAACCCCTCCCGCAACCGTTACCAGCATCACCCCCACTCAGCCAAGCTATAGCTCCAATGCCTCTCTCAATGAGTGACTTGTCTATTTCGACTGTTAGCTCTGCAGGGCAGGGCTTTCTGTTACTACCTGTATGTACAGCACCCAGCACTGCGGGGCCTCGATCTCAGCTGGGGCTCTAGGCACTGCTGTAATACAAATAATACTTCTAGGAAACACAATAAACTGTGGTAGATTCCTTAACGTTCAAAGGACAGACCCGTACAACAGTTACCTTTGGTGACAAGGCTCTCTGATGCATATGTGTCTGTCACATGGTTATAAAAGGAAGGAAGGAAGTGGTGCCAAGGAGAATACCCTAGAGGAAAGCTGTGTCCTGTGTCCTCCCAGCTTGCTGGGGGTGGAAAGGCCTTGGAGGGGCTGGTGAGCTGATAGTTGGGGGTTGATTTGTTCTGGTTTTGAGTCATGTGTTTGGAAACAAAGTGAGCCTAGAAGGAAAGGGGGGAAATGACTTGAACTGGGGCTCTTTTTAACTTCCCTGGCTGGCGAGTTTGCACGCAGGCCTACACCTTTGCATCTCGTTAGGGCTCTCTGTATGGACACACTCCCTCTGATTAGTACCGGGAACGCCTCACTGCACATAGCAAAGCTGTAAAGTTTTTAAAGGGTGGCAAGTGCCTGAGATCATGGAAGCTCCTGAAATCCTAGCAGAATAGAGATGGTTAAGAACAATAGATTTCTTTCCCGAGGAAGGGTTGGCAGTTCTGCAGCTGCCCCTGCATTGTGTTTCCTGTACAAAACCTTCCTCTGAATATCTGAATTCCACCCCAAATGCAGCAAGGGTAATTATGAACGTTTATAGTCAGCCAGCATTGGAAATGTCCCAACTCCTGAGCTATTCCCATCTGCAGTGTACGGTACGCGGGGATATTGCCAGCTCTGTGCAAACCAGCAGCAGTGCTGGGAATACAAAGTGGGATGTGAACTTGCGGGGGAGGAGGGAGAGAGTTAAATCTCCAGGCCCCATGAGCTGTTGTCTGAGAACTTTGCTGCACTTACAACTCATTGATGAGGATGTCTGGTACCCAGATGCTGTCGGTGGGGAGGGACATCTGCGTGATGTTATCAAAGTCCTCTGGATTCCACCTGAGAAACTCGTCGATCCAGTGCTGCAGAAGTGAGATAAGAGGGGACTTAGGCAGCAGGATCAATTCCAGGCCGGTTCCCCACCTCTGGCAGGAGTATTAGATACAAAGCAAAGCCTGTCTTCCCAATTACTGTACTTGCCCAACTGTACAAAGCTTAAAGCATTCACCCATTCCCCTCTAATCCTATAACTCTGTGCCCCACATGCTACTTGTTATCCTCCAATGGTTTTGACCTCGCTGCACTAAGCTAGGACATTATCATCCATGTGCCCACACTCTGAACCACCGGTCTCTCTGCTTTCCAGAGGGTGCTGGGTTTTACGGGTTGGCTACACACTGCATATGGGGATGTCGTCTTGGTGCTGGAGCAAGTCTGTGCACAGTTTTAATCTTCTGGAGACGTATCGTGTCCCGGCTATTCATTTGGCTGCATTGCTCATTTTGGGATGAATTAGGTTAGCTGATAACTAGCAGGAGCTCATAGGGCTCTCTCATCCAGGCAAATGCATAGCCAAAAGGACGGTGTGTTCGGGGAGCTCTGGGTGAAAAGAAAGTGAGACCTCTCATGTGGATGCCAAGGGAGATGCCCCACTGATTTCAATGTCCCACTGCTCTCCTCCTATCCTGGAGCCGTGGGAGTTGGAGTAAACTCCCTCCTCCCCATGCGGAAAATGGAAGTTGGAATACAAGTCGGTAGCTGGCCAGATTGTCCTTGTCAAGTGACGGCTGCTTGAGCAGCAGACGCGCCTGAGTTTCCTTCGGCGAAGCAGGCAACATGCCTCCCTTCACAGAGGCATTGACAATCTCCAATAAAAAGTCCCCACAGGCCAGCACCAGGCCAGTGTCTGAGAAATCGCCATGTTACTGTGGGTGCTGGCGCTGCAGAGATAAAAGCTACTAACGGTGGAAAGGACCTGGGAAAGTCCTACCAAAGGAGAATGGAAGAGAAAACCATTGATTCAGAGCTTCGTAAAGCCGGGAGGATTCCAGCCACTCACCTGCCTGTACCAGATGTAGGTTGTCAGCACCTGATTTTTTTCATCCTGTTGGAAATAAAAAGCAAAGGTGAAATGGCAAAGGGCATTTTACAGCTCAGGGGTTACTGATATTGACATTAGCCATTGTTAATGCAGAGGGCCCAAAGTTATCAGGAAGGGTTTGGATACAAATGAGCACCAGGTTCCAGATGTCAGTGGGGATCAATTGGCAAGAACACAAGAGGAGAAGGTGAGGAAATGGCAAAATAACAAGCAAAGGATCCTTTGATTGCAGATCCTTTGGGACACGGATGGACCTTCTTAAGTTCTTCAGCTTTCCCCACCAGAAGGCCTGACTGTCCTCTAACTGCTCTGTTGGCAGAGGGGCCTTCAGATACAGTCACTAATCCAGCACATTTTAAAGCAAACTTCTTTCAGTTAGGAGTAAGGGGTGGGTGTGTGGATGGCTTCTTGTAGCAACTCAGCCTAGTCTGTGGTCAAGCCTTTCTGGGATGGTGCATTGAAGATTATTAAATTATACCCGGGGCCTGGTCTCCAAATCATCTCAGCATGTTGGGTGCTGAGCACTTTGGAAATCTCACCCTTAATTAGGTGCCTAAATGGTTTCTGAGCAATTGAAGACATGGCTCCAAGTGATTTGCCCTAGTTTACCTAAACAGGATGTCTCTCCTCACCTCATCCTGGATGTGGAAAAACTTTGTGACATATGAACCCTCCCTAGGCTCAGAGGTACCTACCCCCACTCCTCAGCCCCAGAGATGTTAGGCCTGCTGGGCTCCGTGGCAAAGCGGAGGACTTACCACGCTGAGAATGGCATATACCATGACATCAATGGCTACGTTGGTTGTCCTTCTCCAGTCCTGAACTGGCCGGACACCCTTTCTGTAATGAGTCAGCAGGTAGTCAGAGAGCTGGAGCAGGGCTGGCTTGGCAGAGTTCAAAGTCCTGTTGTTGCCTTTCCGAGCAGCTAAGGGGGGGAAAAAATATCACATTTCCCTGGACTCATTTCTGGGCATGAACCCGCTCAGTGCATCACCTTCCCCATTCCCTCTCTCTCTATGCTGCTGCACAATCTACGCAAAGCGACTTGGCTCGTGGGAAGCAGACTCCCAGCAAATCATGGCTCAGTCTGGCTGAAGCAGCTTCCAGCCAAGACCACTTCAGTGCAGCGCCTGCCTGGTCATCTCCGGTTGGGAGTGACTCCCACCCAGGACTGGCTCGGTGTGGCTCCTGTCGACTAGAGAACAGAGAAGCACTTTATTGGCTCACCATGTGGAACTGCCTCCTCCGGGGTACATGGCCTGGGCTCGAGACCCTGCAATGCAGTCTGGCTGTGGGATGGGGAGCTCCACTAATCTGAACTAGTGCAGCCTACAGCCTGGCCCCCAGCTCCTCAAGGTACTGCAGGCACATGGCTCTGCCTCTTAGATAACTTTTGGGCATCCTTGGCAGTGCCCCACACATACTCAAAGGGGTTTGAGCTTTCTTCCATTCAAAAAGAGCACAGGGTGCATATTGCTGGTGTAACAGGGTGGCCTGCCTCGTGGGCTGCAGAGCCTGGAGCTAAGCCAACCCTGATTATAGGATCAGCCCCACCTGCGAGGAATCGGGTGATTCCAGTACAAAAGGAGCAGGAAGTTGCAGTGAAGGGGAAGCTATGTCTGCAGATGCTGCAGGGTGTAAGAAAGCTCCTGCCGGGCTCTGTGTCAGCAGGAGAAAAGCTCAGAAGCAGGGCAGAGTGAGTGCTCTCCAGGCAGGTAGGCCTGGGAGAGACCCTGTCCAAGCAGGGAAACGACTGCACTAGCCCAACTGGAAAGGACTGTGGAGAAGAACAAACTCCAGGCAGGAGGTGCTGGGGAGCAGAAAGACAGGCTCTTAGGGTGGTGGGGATGTGCCCAGCTGAAACTGGGATGAAGACTGAGTTTGTGTTCTGTTTGTGATCCAAAACCTCTGTGGGGTTTTGGATCAGGAGAGAGACACTGAAGTGGGGTTGGGGCCTGGAAGTCCATTGTGTACCAGAAGACTAAATAAATAGGCCCCCTTGTGGCGATTGTTTGAACTGCCTGTGGACTGTGAATTTCTCCAGGGCTCTGAAGAGGGGAAAACAGAGGCCGGGTGTCTTAGAGGGACCTCTGGTCACAAGGGGGCACTCGGGAGGTGGCTGCCTGTGTTACCAGGATTTACAGCAAGACTGACCATATGGTTAATGTACATCTTCCTTCCATAAAGCCAGCCTGCTAGCTTAGTGTATCGATAGCTCCAAGCCCTTCTCCCTGGGCTCTCTGTGGGAGCTGGATGCAAGGTGACATGTGGAGCTTGGCTTCCAGATCTGTTGTCTCCAGGTTCAGCATGGACCAGAATCAATGGGCAGAGGTGAGACTATTCCCACCCGGGGAATATTTAAAATTTCCCTCAGTATTTTTTTAAAATAAAATTATCCCAGGGAAGTGGAGGGGGCAGGAGTAGGGGGAAGAGGCTGAAGCTAAAGAGAAACCAAGATGTTTAATTCATTTACCTCTTTAATTGATTAAAAAAGAGTATTTATGTGACTGAAGGCCTGATCCAAAGCCCATTGAAGTCAATGGTAGTCTTAGCATGGACTTCAATGGACTTTGGATCAGGTTCTGAGAGTTTCATACATGGTGAAAGCTTCCAAGTGGTCTTGGCCAAAGTTTTTGCAGCCAGACTTTTTCTTGGAAAGCAACAGCAGAGCAGCTGGTTTGCCTGGATATTGGTCAAATATCCGTTGCTTGGCCAGTTTCTCCCTCCTTGGCTGCCTCCATAATCAGCTGTGAAGTGGGGGCGGTTTAAGGTCTTGCTCTGGCACCACGCAAGTCAATGGGAGCCTTGCATTTGACTCCAGTGGTGCCTCATCAAACCCTAGGAGCCTAGATTTTCTGCCAGCCATCTCCACACAGCATCCTGGCTTTCATTACTGTTCAGCAAACATGCTAGCGGGGCTCCTCCTCTCCTTCTGTGTTGAGCTGACAAAAGGAAAGGGGCTGTGGATTGTAGCTCTTTCTGCCTAATAAGTGTTAGCAGAGCTGGTGTGATTAAAAAATGAATGAGGAGCCCATCACAAGTTGTGATAACTGTGATCCCATGCCTTAGCAAGGTAGTAATGAAACACTGCTCCCTGGATGGAGTCTTCACACCAATCAGTTGCAATATTACCATCAAACCCCCAGAAAGAGTCTGGCAATGGGGCGGGGGCAGGGATTGAGAGAGAGAGAGAGAGAGAGAGAGAGAGAGAGAGTGAATTTCCAGGCACTGGCCCGCAACCAACGGCTGTGTTTAAAGAAGCGTGGCTTGGTTGGTTTGTTCCTGCCGAGGGAAAGCTTTTTCAAATATTGCAGCAGAAAGTTGAAGAGCAAGGACAGTGTTGTGGTTAAAGCGCTGGTCTGGGACTTCCAGAAATCTGGCTTCAAGTTCTCCCACTGCCACAGAATCCCTGTGTGACCCAGGCAAATCACTTAATTTGTGCCTGTTTTCTATCTGTAAAATGGGGACAATAACCCTTCCTTCCTTTCTCCCACCCCAAATGTAGCAAAGGTAACTGATGAGGGAAAGGGTGTGTGAGAAAAGGTTATTCTGCCACTGCCTGTGCTGTACCTGTCCTGGAGATAGGGGATCAAGTTCCCACTTACCCATGCTGTCAGTTTGGAACCTTTCAACAGAGTTGTACTCACTTTGTTAATACTTAGACTTGTTAGTATTTTGAAAGTCAAGCCTCTAAACAGTCCTGCAAGCTCTCTGCGTCAATGCTCTGAGCATTGATTGCATAACAGATTGCCCCCAACGCAGTGCTCCTGTTTGCAAGGCAACTTGTGACGTGAAAGTCAAGTCAAAGCCACAGAACCCTGTTTGCAGCTCAGCCCACAAACATGACTGTCTAACACTAGAGCACAATTCACATGTAATAAAAGGAGCTAATTGGAATAGATCGGCAGGAACTTGGGAAAAGCTGCCTACGAAGGGGCCTTTCATCTTTCTTTAAAAAAACAAAAACAAAAAAGCTTTACATAGGACCTATAATGCCTCCAAATTTGCTGGGCTTGTGAGCCCCTGCCAGGTCCGTAGAAGGCAAAAGAGGATGTGAGGGAGGTGAGGAGAACAAAGGAGAGCTGCAGAAGGAAAACGGGTATTTTGGTAGTTGTGCTGTAGACTCTGTCGCATTCTCTTCCAAGTGGCCCTTAATGGTGCAGCCAGTCATAGTTGGCTCACAAAGGTTTGCTTTTGGGGCTTGCCCTGCCAACTCTGCATTTGCGGTGTTGTTGTAGCCTTGTTGGTCCCAGGATATTAGACAAGGTGGGCGAGGTAATATCTTTTATTGGGCCAACTTCTGTGGTGAAAGAGACAAGCTTTTGAGCTCCACAGAGCTCTTCTTCATGTTAGCTCTGGGTAAGCTCAGAAGAAGAAAGAATTTGGTAGAATTCAGACACCTCAGTAGGTAACCTAGTCTTGCCAGGGGCGGGTGGGTGTGTGAGAGAAAGAAAAAAAGCTGGGTGGGAAATGATTTCCCATCCTGATGATAGTTCAGAATTTGATTATTATTTTCTTTCATCCTGAATGGGGGTGAAAAATCAAAATCTGAGATGTTCCCAAATCAACCTCCCTCTCCCTCAAATGTTCAGGTGAGTCAAAGAGTTTAACAGCAATCATTCTGAAACACTTTGATTTTTGAATTGTTTTTCATTATTTCAACTTTTTCCCAATCTAATTCGCTTAAATTTGGAAATGAAAAGCTGTTTCCTTTGTTTCAAAAATGTCAAAACAAAACAGTTTGACAAGTTCAAAACTTTTTATTTCACATCAGGAGTTTTCACTAACACTTTTGGTTTAGATAACTTGGCTTTTTCATATTAAAAAAAAAAAAGCCATTTGTCAAATTCCTGACTTGCTTTAGTGTTGAATCACCACACATTGGCTCGTCCCAGAGGGGGTGTCTACACTGCAGCTGGGAGTGAGCCTCCCAGGCTTGCTAGCAGAGCTAGTGTGCTAAAATAGCAGTGTGGCCTGGACTGCACCTCGGGCTAGCCACCCAAGAGGCTGGGCCTGCTTGGATTTGGATGGCTGCAACATCTGCATTGCTAGGTTTAGCTAGCGCTTGTCTGACTACCTGGCCTGGGAGGCACGTTCCAGGCCGCAGTGTAGACATACCCTCTGGTATGTCCTCCTCTCCTCCTGCCAAGCTGAGAAGTTCCAGTCATTGGGAGTTTCGCCTTTGGGCCTTTACCTCTTGCAGGCAATTTTGGTATGAAAACACATGACACCAGCGCTGCTCTTCAGCAGCCTTGCTGCTGGACAGCTCCCAGTGGCCGCTGCCCAGAGCAGCAGAGCGGGAGGGAAGCCAGGACACACAGATCACACACAAGCCCTTAGAGACAGAACCAGTACAGGTGGCTGGGGGGCAACTTCGCATATAGAGTGAAAGTGGCTCCAGTGCTGAAAAGTCAGCCCCCACCCTATGCACTACTTACATCCTGCTTAAGCCCTCAGTTAGTGGTGCATTGGCCTCAGGTAGCATCTTTGAACAGGCGAACCCTTTGTCAGCCCCCTTTTTCATTAGACTGGAGTTTTGGACCACAGATCTTTGTTGCAGAATTACTCAAATCAAATAAAAACTAATCAACCAAATTCTTTCTGCAGCAATAAGAGCCTTAAACTTGCACCTTTGCAGGTTCATTAGATTTCTAAAGAAACAACAAGGTCTGATTTGCTGGGACACTTTTTCCCCCCCTTTGCCTAGGTATCTTGGGAGAAATCTCACTTTTCCGCATCAATCTCAAAACAAAGAAGCAGCTTGTTTCCTTCCAGGTGTTTTCTATTGTGGCTTCACGCATAGGTCTCCTGTGTGTAGAAATGAGACTCATTCGGGCTTATTAAATGGTGAGTTTTCCTAGAAGTTCTGCATTGTTCATTGGCACATGTTGGTACTGCTACCACTGTGATCCTGAGAGAAAATTCAGTTTTCAGTAGCCCTGTGGCTTGTCTCAATGTAGGATGAGAAAACAGAAATTGTCAGATGTCATCTAGTCCTGTATCTTGCCTCCAAATGCTTTAGGGGAAGGTGCAAACTCCCATAATGAACAACGAGGCACTGCAAATGCTCTGGGGTGTGTATAAAGCAGGCTCCACGGATGTGATTTTTTTCCCTTCAAGCTTCCTGCTGAAGTTGTTTCTAAAACTCTGTGTTTCCTTGGGTAACCAGGAGTGCTTGGGTAACAGACACAAGGAGAGTGGAGCTCCGAAGAAGAGAATGGAGGGAAAACAGCCCAACTCCTCATCTCTAAAGGGCTTGGCTGCACACTGAAGATGGAGGGTAAGTGCTCAAAGCTTATTAGTCATTTTCAAGCCAGATGTTAAAACTAGACTTGGCACTAAGATGAGGCTGGGATCTGTATTATCTATGGAATGTAATTTAAAATAGCATTGCCTGGCATGGAAGGGGGACTCTGAGCACAGGGGAGACAGGTTCACAGTACAGGAATTGCGTTTTATGCGTGTTTGCACTCACCAAAAAGAAAAAAGGCATAAAAGTTGGTGTGAAATTCTTGCTGGTTGATTGAAGTTAGTTTCCTCGAACACCCTGTAGTTCCTGCATATGCCAGAGGGGAACGGGTGCCTTAGGGAGCTGGCTGCAGCTTCCCAAACTTTCAAAGCGAGGAACACCATGAACAATGTTGGTTGCCAGCGGGACGGGGTGTGTGCGTGCGGGGGGGAGGAGGGGGTTAGATGATATGACAGTAGCTTTTAGTGGAGCAACCCATTAGTGAAGCATAAAGTGATTAGGGCTGGAAGGGGCCAGCATTAAGCTTCTCTAGTGCATCCTCTGCTCTCTGTGTGGGACTCTGACCTTGCTAGACTGCTTCCAATAGGTGCCCACAAGCCGTGACTTGAAGATTCCTGGTGATTTTGATTCCAGGGCAGTGGCTTCCTAGCTAATCTTGCCATTTTTGCTTTTCCATTGTGTTTGTCTCTCCCCCACCCCCATTAAATATATTTGGGCCAGAAACTCAGCATGGGCCAACGACTCCTACGGAGCTACACTGATTTACACCAGCTGAGGATCTGGCCCTTTCCTCACTGCTTTTATCGTTGTTTACTCATGACAGCAATTCCTTCCTTTCCTCTTTTATATCCTCACTCGAATGATAAACTATTGCAAAAGTTTTGGGGGCCAGAAATGAAAGACTGTTTCCAACCTGCCAGGGCTGCCCAGAGGATTCAGGGGGCCCGGGGCAAAACAATTTCGGGGGCCCCTTCCATAAAAAAAAGTTGCAGTACTATAGAATACTATATTCTCGTGGGGGCTCTGTGGGGCTCGGGGCCTGGGGCAAATTGCCCCACTTGCCCCCGCCTCTGGGCGGCCCTGCAACCTGCCTTCAAAGGAAATCCCAGACATACCCTTGCTTTGAATCCTTACAGCTGCATTGGTACCAGAATATTGCTTCCCTTGCTCAAGAAAGTGCAAAAACAATAAAGAATGCTTCCTAATTAATAACGGAGAGTTATGAGAAAGTCTGCACTGCTTGGCAGTAGGAGCGTGGAAAACAAACCCATCATCTGTTCTGTTAATTGTCATCCAAAAATATTTAGTCCTGCATTATGAAAAACAAAGCATTAGTAGGGAAGTCTCTTTACCAAGCTCAAGTGTTTGGGCAACAGGTTCCAAATTGATATATAAATCACCGTGTTCTCTCTCTCTCTCTCTCTCTCTCTCTCTCTCTCTCTTTTTTTTTTTTAATCCTCTCTGACTAAACAAGCTTAAACTTTTCAACTCTGCAGCCTTTTATTATTGAGTCTAAAACTGAGCGGTACTAAAATACCCCGTTAGCCTGTCACAAAGGCTATAGCTTATTTCTCTACTCCAGAGCTTGACCTGCATTTCTGACACTCCTTTGAACATGCAAAATCACAGAACACTTTCCATAACCTGTTATGGGTGTTTCCCCTCCGTCAGGCTGTATAGATCATTTGTGATACCATGGGTGTCTCAAAAAAAAAATCCTGTGCATGAAATACACCAAATTAAGCCACCAGGTTTGTATTAAAATACTTCTACCCATCTCTCAACACCTACAAGACCCCCCTCAACTTTCCCATAAGTTTCCTTACCTTCACTTTGAAACATAACAGTGAACAGCAGCAGAGCAAGAAATGCCCAAAGAGCAGAGGGTGTCATGGCTCTGATCCAGAGGGTCGCAGTCTTTCTTAGTTCCTCTTCACATTGATTCCACACGTAGGACTGAGTCTTCTGGTTCTCCGCTGGCTCGCCTTTTCTACTCCCCCCCCCCCACACTCCCCCCTCTATCCTTCGCTCTGCCGATAAAGGGAACCTAATCAGGGCAGCAGGTACACCTTTTGCTCGCTTTCCCCCCAAAGGTCAGGTTTTTGAAAATGCCTAATTAATCTTGCAATCAGACTCCTCTGCTGCTTCAAATTTCAGGCTGGGAGGATAAAAACAGAACCTACCCACCCAGACTGATGTCACACAGGACAAATGCACAGTGCCTCTCAGTCTTTCCCCAGTCAGGGAGGGCACTGGCATGTCTGCATGAGGTTAACCAGGGAGGCAATTTGTTACCTGAGACCTGGCTAAAAGCCGTTTCAGATAGAATTGATGGTGATGGGTTTTCTATAATTTGTTT